TGAACAGGCATGGCAGCAGAACATATATACCTTCCCTTCAAACATCTTACAGCATGATGAGTCCAAAGATTCCTGACTCTCTTCTAAGGACAGCCAAGAAAATATTAAGGAGAGTGAATATAGGAGGATCCTGGCATATAAACCCACTTTTTCTTAATGAGATCAGTAGTATTTGATACTATTTGATTACTAAAACCTTTACATGGAACAATATGTTCTCTGCAGAAAAAGCTGGATACAAGGTAAACTATTACCACATCAAACAATGTCTTATCAAATCAACCTGTATCCAAAGGCATCAGACAACACTAGTGAGTAATGCTGCGTTTCGGCCAACACTTCAGCTCCCATTAGCATGTCAGTTGTAGTTCTTGGGCAATGGTTTTGGTCTTCCAAATAAGTTGAGATCATAATCTTTTTGTTGTTGTTTCCTGCCCGGCAAAGAAGTGGTTTCACCCTCAGCCTTTTCCAGACCACCAAAAGACAACGAGACACTAAAGCAACCGGACCCTCCCCATATGTAGCTCCTGCCAACTTGAAATCTCCTGAAACAATAGACTAAACAAGGCCAGTATTCTAAGAGATGGGGTTTAGACTAGGTCCAACACCTCTGCCTGAGAATGAATCATAAAACCACTAGCACTCTATTCCCCAGCATTACGCCATCTAGCCCCAACTGGGTCGAACCGTGCAAAATGAAAAAGAAATCAGGAACACACTGAACTTAAAACCTCAAGTACATTTTAAATCCTGTTTTAGATTCATCTAAATTAACAGAGGTCAGGCAACTTCTTTATTCAAGCTGGGTTATTCTTACTGGTTTAATACCAAAAGCAGTCAGCCACGTTTTTCCACTAAAAAATAAAAAAATACCCTGACAGAAGAACATTCTAAAACTCAGTAGAGAATATGAAAACAGCTTACAATAAACTTTGCCTTCTAGAATAACTAATGGAGGAAATTACCCAGTTATTAGGCCATGGGAAACAACTCTTTGTATATTATTTCATATTTTGCATGTCACAAATTAAAAGCACAATTTTTATTTTCTAGCATAGCATTTTTTCAAAGTGTTTTACAAAGAACACCAGTACAACAAGAGAAAAGCAAGTTCAATAAGTCTGAGAAGCTCTGCCATCCATAGCCCCCTACTTGGAAATGACAGATGTACATCTGCATATTAAAGAGTCTGAGGAGTCCCACAGTCAATTCTATGGAATCCAGCATCTTCCCAAGTTCATTTGGCCCTGCAGCCATTTTTCTCTCATAACATATATCAACATCCCACAAAATGGCTGTTCTGCAGAGCACTCCTTGGGAAAGATTCTTCTAGAAAAGGGATATAATGAAATGGTTTAATAGCTGAGACTCTGGAGTCAGCCTGATTCAAAGATCAGCTTCACCACGTGTTAGCTGTGGGACATTGGGCAAGCTTCTTAATGTCACTTGTCCCTCAGTTCCCCCAGGTAAAATGGGCAAAATAATAGCACCTACCTCCTAGGTGTGGATCTTTCCATATGACTGGAACAGTCTTCTGAGAGCCTCACACGGCTGGCTCCTTTTTGTCATTCAGGTCTCAGTTCACAGTGTCACCCTCTCCAAGAGGCCTTCCCTAACCAACCAATTCTGGTCATTAGTTCTTCATTCTCTTCTTTTCTTCATGATACTTCTCTGTTTAACTATTAAATTGTTGTCTGTCTCACCCCAGTAGAATACAAGCACCATAAAGTCAAACTTTATCAGTTATCATTGCTCTATCCCAAAACAGATTCTCAATAAGTATTCATTGAATGGACGGATGAACAAATGAATGAATAAATGAAGTGGTTGTGCGAATTAAATATAAATCAATATAAAGCACTCTTTTCTTTTTTCTTTAAAGTATACTTTTTTTTGGTGAGGAAGATTGGCCCTGAGCTAACGTCTGTTGCCAACCTTCCTCTTTTTTTTTTCTCTCCAAAGCCCCAGTACATAGTTGTATATCCTAGTTATAATCCTTCTAGTTCTTCTGTGTGGGACACCACCTCAGCATGGCTTGATGAGCAGTGTGCAGGTCTGTGCTCAGGATCCGAACTGGCAAACCCCAGGCCGCCAAAGTAGAGTACGCAAACTTAACCACTACGCCACCGGGCTGGCCCCTAAAGCACTCTTCATAGTACCTGACACATAAGCATCTATCCAGATGCTGTTATGAAAACTTTTGATAAGTGATGGGCAGTTAACACATTCACAATCAGAGTTCTTGCACTATTTAACTAGCCTCTTCTTGCTGTATTGTGGGTAAACATTTCATGACATTTATTCAGAAGTGTGCCAGTCAAAGGGTTTTCAGTGATGGGGCGGAGGGCGTGGTTAGGCCCTGAGAGTAGCATTTGCCACTTTCCATGGTGCAAATACTCCTACCTCGACCAATTTCAAGTCATCAACAGTTTAAAAGCAGGCTCACAAAATTCCTGAAAATGTAACAAATGGCTCTCACAATCTACTACAATCCTTCTCTTGGGAAGGGTCCTTTTAGGCCTCCAAGTCTTGTTGATTTCAAGTTTAAAATGAGATTTTTTATGTAGAGATACTTTTTCCTCATTCTCTCTTCTTGATGAGCCAAGATAAGGGCTCTCCACTGACTTTGGTCTGCTGCTCAAGGAAACTAGTGGGATGTGTTGGGTTGCATTTTCTGTACCACTCTCTGTGGGCTCTTAGACTGATGTTTAAGGCTCTAAACATGATCCATATCCATGCCAGACCATTCTGAGGACGAACTAATCTCATAAAACACAAACTGAATTGTGTTTAGATTCATTTAAATGGAGGCATCCACACAATGGAATCAAAGCACATCTATTAAGTGCTACCAATGAGCAGAATCTAATAACAGAAGAAGAGTGACTCTACCCTGACCACAAGATCCCAACATGGAATGAAGGTCAATGCTGCAGCTGGAGGTTTCTCTGGCATCACAGCCTTGCTGCATATGCAACTTGAACCCGTGGCACTCAAAATAAAACAGCAGCCTTTTCAAGTATAGCAATCTACCAACCATAGTTTTGAGATAACAGAACCAAAATTTCAAAATCCACAGTCACTCTACATGCAAGTGATAACATGCCAGTAATTATTGCTTCTCTTCTGTAAACTAAATGGAAAGTCTGTGGAGTAAGGCAAGAAGAGATTAGTTTCTGCTCCACTGTATTAGCAATCTATCGCTGTACAATAATTACCTCAAAATTCAGCAGCTTGAAACAACACACGTTTATTATCTCACAGTTTCTGTGGATCAGGAATCCAGCTACAGCTTAGCTGGATCCTCTGCTTCATAGTCTCTCACAAAGGTATAATCAAGGTGCCACCCTAGGGCCTGTCATCTCATCTGAAGGTTCAAGTGGGGCAGGATCCACTTCCAAGCTCACTAAGTGGTTGTTGGCAGTTTTCAGTTCTTTATGGGTGCTTGAATGAGGGTCTCATTTCCTCACCAGGTGTTGGCTAGAGGCTGCCCTCAGTTCCTTACCACATGGGCCTCTCCCACATGGTAGCTTGCTTCATCAAAGCATGGAAGTTGAGCTGGCAATAGAATCCTCTAACACAATGGAAATAACAGTCTTATGTAACCTAATCATGGAAGTGACATTGGCATCCCATTTCCTTTGCTATAGTCTATTGTTTAGAAGCAAATCACTAGGTTCAGCGTATACTCAAGGGGAAGGGATTACACCAGGGTATGGATTCCAAGAAGAAGGGATCATTGGAGCCATCTTGGAAGTCTGCCCACCACATTCACCCTCTTGGAATATAGATGGGAAGACCAGGCCCAACAAAACATTTCTTTAAGCATCTCAACATGAAACCAAGCCATGTGGTTTCTCAAGCATGTTGCTAACGTCTCATGAAAACAAAACAAGGGAGAATAAGCATGGAGGACATTAAGGCTGAAGGCACAAAAGTCTGTTCAAATGTTCTAAGCAAAGACCACCTACATCAGAGTGGGGAGCATCTGTATTAGCAAGCCCCACCATGGAAACCATGTTTTCTCAACAATCAAACAAGCGACTTAGAAAATGGGCCGCCCATCTGAACAGATATATAATGCCAAGAAATCCAGTTTGGTCTGGAAGCAAACAGCTTTTGGAATTTTTACTTACTGCTGTGGAATACTTTGAAAATATACTTAATGCCATTTTATTGCTTCCTGTTTTCTGTGAGATTTGTGTCTCCCACAGCGTTTTGTCTACAGGGTACTTTTGAGATCTATATCCACCATAGTGGCAAGGAACTGCTATAAAAATTTCAAACCTTGGCTGTCACTCACATTTTTTTAAGCTCTATCTAACCACATAGTCTCAGATATATGAGCAGCTCAACATTCAATGGCGGTTGCAGGCCAGAGAGGCTGCCTCTGAAAGGACACTGAATGATTTAATCCACTAAGTGCAAAACACATACTCGGAAAACATGGAACACTCTGTCCTAGAGTAATGTAAATGCAGACAAAAATGATCTTAAACCTAAACGTTCAAAATTGATCTGCACATTTTACCATTCTTTCCAGAAATATCCATATGATTTACTTTCTGCAAATTCTGCCAATCCACCTATAAAAACATTTGGATTCATTGTTTTCCTAATCACCTATTGGTTTTAATCCTTTAGAGAGATGATATTTGAGAAATGTCTAAAACTTAAACAGTGTTATACTTAAAAGACCCTGCAACGATGGCCATCTGTAGGAAAGCAGTTGTAAACCACCTTAGAGTTGACAGGTGCTGCACATGCTTGGATCCTAAATACGTGCTAAATAACAAAGGAACATACGTGTGGTGAGCAGAGAAAAAAAACTAATGGAAAATTCCAGTTTAAAAGTGATAAGCAGACAGGAAGTTTATAAAACAGATCACAAAGGGGAGTTTGTTGAGGCTGTAGATGACTTCCAACCTGTGAAAATAACTCGATCACATATTTTAACTCATAAAATATAGCTTTGAGGAAATAAGAGTGAATGTCCTTACCTCTCTAAGATGTATGTTTTCCTTCTCTTTCTGGTCTAAAATCACTTCTAAGTGGCTGACTTGAGACTCAGCTTCTGCCATGCGCCGTGTCCGTTCATTGTCATCCTCAAGACTTTTGGATGGCAAACCTTTACTTTGCAACATCTCAAGGAGCTTTTTAATTGACTCGTCTCGGGCATTGAGGGTCTGTTTCTGCGTTTCGATTCTCAGCTCCATTTCCTCCAAGGTCTTCCTCAACAGGAACAGCTCCTTAGCCTGCCTGTCATGCTCAGCTTGGAGCCGCCGGAAGTTCTCCTCGGTCAGCTCAATAGTGAAGTGCTCGGCTCCTCGGTTGCCACTCTCTTGCTGCAGGAGGTGGTTGAGGTCTCTCTGGGTTCGCAGCTCATCCTGAAGGGCCTGGATTGTCAACTGCAGATGCTGTCATGAGAAAGACGGAGCAGGAGAGGAGAAAGAAGGGGAAAAAGTTAGTGGAAATGCCAAGTGCCATCTGCTGTTTCCACACTATGAGAATGGAATGTTAATCATGAGGTCCAGAGGGCCAGCTGTGAAGTCCTCCAGGGTGACTTCAGAAGCATGGGGCAGCACATGGAGAGGGGGAAATTAATTCAGTGATGCTTTCTGAATGTCTTAGGAGAAGAGAAATGTACACATACACAGAAACAGTTATATTAGTGTCAGTCACAAGGGAAATTATACATCTACAGAGTATTAATTTAGGAAGTGGAAAGGGTAAGAGGGAAACTTTCACAAACACACCTTCTTTACACCCACAGTGCTCCAGACTCAGTATTCCTTGTTTCCTAAGGTATACTTTATTGTACTATGCATTATTTTCTGTGATAAATGCATGTCCATTTAAAAATGAAAATAATAGCATCCACTACAAGTAGACACAAACAAGGACTTTATTTTTACAAATAAAGCTGTGAACAGGTTTAGTAAACAGGACTACTGCATCTGCAAGCAAAAGGGAAAAAATGCAGACGGAGACAGACACACTCAAACACACGAGGAGGTGAGGCTGGGCAGAGCAAAACAAACAAGCTGCAAAGAGTGGACAAACCTTGGTTCTTCTGGCATCCAGTAACTGAACAGCATGGGAAATGAAAAAAAATGAAGCAAAAAATCAACACAAAGAAAAGTCCAGTGCAAGCAAAGGATATTTAACAGAAAGAACTTAATCAACATAAAGTACCTTCACAGAAAAGAAAAAGAAAAAAGAAAAATAATTTCTTATTACAGCAAAGACCCATAAGCTACACAGAATCTATAGTATTGATGCTTGATAAGTGTGATTTAAAGAACAAAAAGCAAAATGGGAGGTTTATTCCACCTTTGGTTTTCCTCAATCTCACTGACCCAGTGAGTCTCGAGGATATTACCAGAGAGGAAAGCACAACACTCCAAAAGCACCTACGTATTATTCCAGGTCACCATTTTAACCAAAATCAGAGTGAAGGTACCAGAGAAACAAAATAGTTACCAGTTGTGAGAAAAGAAACTCTTACATGAAGATATTTGGTGAATTCAGCAACACCTTCCCCAAGGGGAACAACCTCCAGGCTGGTCACAGGCAGCCATAAGCTGAAGGCATTTTTGTCCTGGGAACAAACCAGGAGGTTTCCAAGACACAGTTACTCATTCATTCATCAAACACATACTCCTGCCCATGGACCAGACACAATGCTAAGCACAGGAATCAAGATGGACATAAGGCATAGCTCCTACTCACAGGGAACTCACATGGATAATACCCTGTCAAAGTTATATAAATAGTGGAGCAGTCCACATTTTTAAATCCTTCTGAATTCCTACAACTGACTCAGAGGTGTTGAGAGCTTTCTGAGTGTGACCTAGACCCAGAAACTAGCACTGAGTGATGCATTATCTTGATTCACCTCTTTTTGGGTGTCCACTTTATCTTTCCATTTAGGAACACCCAAGCAGAAATTCCGAGAGCACAGGAAACAAGTACTCTCTTCTTATCCATGTGCCACAGTGCACCACAGGATACTGACTGTACAGTAAGCAACTGGTATGTATTTAATGATGGTGATTATGATTTTTTTCTAAATATAATTCACTCCTCTAAAGTGTAAAATTCAGTGGTTTTTACTATACTCACAAAGTTGTGCAACTATCAACACAATAAATTTTAGAACACTTCCACCATCCTAAAAAGAAATCTTGTGCCCTTTAGCCATCACTCCCCATCCCCTTCCCTATGCCCAGGCACTGGAAACCATTAATTTACTTTCTGTCTCAATGGATTTGCCTGTTCTGGACATTTCATATCAATGAAATCATGCAATTAGTGGTTTCTTTCATCTAGCCTGTTTTCAAGGTTCATCCATGTTGTAGCATGTATCAGTATTTCATTCATTTTATAGAAGAATATTATTTCATTATAGGGACATACCATATTGTATTTATCCACTTATTAGTTGATTCCTACACAAGTATTCATAGCAGCATTATTCATAGTAACTAAAAAGTGGAAACAACTTATATGTCAATCAACTGATGAATGAGTAAATAAAATGTGGTATATTCATACAAGCGAACATTATTTAGCCATACAAAGCAATGAAGTACTGATATACACTGCAACACTGATGAACCTTGAAAACATTATGCCATATGAAAGAAGTCAGTCACAGAAGATCACATGTTATATGATTCCATTGATATGAAATTTCTAGAATAAGCAAATCCATACACAGAAAATAAATTGGTGATTGCTAGGGGGGTTGAAGGGGGATATAGGAATGGTGGGTGACTAATAAAAGGTACAGGGTTTCTTTTTGGGGTGATCAAAATGTTCTGGAATTAGATATAGTAGTGGTGTTGGTTGCACAACTTCGCGAACATACTAAAAACCAACAAATTTTATATGTTAGATGATTGAAATGTATGGTACACAAATTACATCTCCATAAAGCTGTAACAAAAAACATGAGGTGGGATTATAAGGTAATGTGACCTTCCTCCGCCAGCCACCCCCGTCCCGAAACCACATCAAAACAAAGTCAAGAGGAGTATCAACAGCCTTCAGCCCAGCGATGTGGCTGCTGCCAAGCTTCTTGGGAGCAGAGCATGCAACTGTCTTCAAGTCATTTAAATACTCTTGATGATGGCAAATCTTTGTCCTTTAAAAGTGGCTTGGATTTCTGAGATCATCCAAGTTTATTTAGAGACAAATATGATGCATCAGGATGATCAGACTGGAAATCATCTTTCCTGAGATTGACTAAAAAGAAAAGTGGTTTTCTTACGCAGTTCATAGATTGTCCAGAAGGGAATTCCAAAGAAAAATTGCCAAAGTGCTTTGAGCAGAGACAGCAACACTGGAAGACAACTCTGAAAGAGGGTTGCCCCTCTGGGTGGGCACGTTGCCTATCGCCCTGATCCTTTGTTTCCACACTTGCAAAAGGGGATAATCATGATACCCATGTCAGAGGGCTCCTGTGAGGAGTAACTAAGATAATGCATAAAGTGCCAGGTTTAAGGGCAAAGGGAGGGAGGAAGTTTGGTAGAAAAGAAGGAAGGAAAGTAGAAAAGAAGAATGAGAGGGAGAGAGAAATGAAGGGAAAATGGGTCCATTTATCCATTCAATATACATTTACCCAGTATCTCCCACATACTCATCAAATATCAAACAAGAAAAGAAAGGAAAACAAATGGTCCAAGTTCCCAGTCCATATGGACAGGTAAACTGATAGTAGCAATACTATGTTATGAGGGTTATGACAGAAGTCATAACCAGGTGGCTGGAAATTCAGAGAGAAGGTACCCAGGCTAGAAACTCGTAGGAAAACACCTCACAACAAGAGTCATCACTGAGCTGCATCCTGAAGAGCAAATGAGAATCAGCCCCATGAAGAATGATAGAAAGAAAAGAGAAAGTATAAAAGCCCAGAGGCAGGGGCCAGTCCCACAGCTGAGTGGTTAAGTTGACGCGCTCTGCCTTGGCGGACGAGGGTTTCGCTAGTTCGGATGCTGGGCACAGATCTGGCATCACTTATCAGGCCATGCTGAGGTGGCATCCTACATAGCAGGACTAGAAGGACCTACAACTAGAATATACAACTATGTACTGGGGGGCTTTGGGGAGAAGGAAAAAAAAAGGATTGGCAACAGATGTTAGCTCAGGGCCAATCTTTAAAAAAAAAAAAAGCCCAGAGGCAAAAACAGACCAGAAATATTAAGGAACATAATATCAAAAATCTGGATAGTGCTTACCACATGCCACGCACAGTTCTAAGCTTTTTTAATCCTCACAAACATCCTGTAAGGTAGCCACTGTTATGATTTTTATTTAATGGATGAGAAAATGGAGATGCCAAGTGGTTAAGTAGCCTGCTCCAAGTCAACCAGCTAGGTAAGTGGCACAAGCCAGGTGTTCATCCAGGCAGTCTGACCCCAATACTCCTGTTCAAACCACTATACCATCTAGCCTCTGAATTGACACAAATACTTCAGGATAGCTGAAAAAAAAGAATGGGGGAGGGGCAGGAGTGGTGACAGCAGACAGGCAGGCAATTATGACAGTTATAGCAATTCTCAAAATTAAAAATTAGCCATCCTAACGTGAATGAGGCTAACCTAACCTAATCTGAATGAGGCTGTTCCTCATTCAGAGGTTGTCATGATGGATGCTTCCAGGCTATACATTTATTAAGAAGCAAAATCTATTTTCCAGGTAGCCATGACTTCAGCACGACCAAACAATCTGATAATCAACCTAAAACCGTGCTCAAAACTTTCTCAAATCTATGTGTCATTTAGTTTTCATTCTCTTTTAAGATATTTAAAAATAAGCAGGAATCTCCTTGTTCCTAAAAAGGGATTCTTGAGCAAAATGCTTGCGCCTTATAGAGCCTTGATCATCTTTCTGCTTCACGTAATTGGAGATGGGGAGGAGTGAATTTTAAACACTCTCTCTCTTCCTTCATTGTTATACTTTTAAGAGAGTCAATTCAATCAAATTTCAAACGTCATTTATCAGATATCCATCTCTAGTTAGATACTTAAGATAGACGATTTAAATTTTAAAATATAATCACAGGGGCCGGCCCCGTGGCCGAGTGGTCAGTTTGCACGCTCCGCTGCGGCGGCCCAGTGTTTTGTCAGTTCAAATCCTGGGGTGCGGACACGGCACCGCTCATCAAGCCATGCTGAGGCAGCATCCCACATGCCACAACTAGAAGGACCCACAACTAAGAATATACAACTATGTGCCAGGGGGCTTTGGGGAGAAAAAGGGAAAAAAAAATCTTTAAAAAATAAAAAAATAAAAAATAAATAAAATATAATCACAGCACTTTAAAAAATTATTTTATTGAGGTCATTTTGGCTTGTAACACTGTGTAAATTTCAGGTGTACATTATCAGATTTCAGTTTCTGTGCACACTGC